ACACTCAACGGTATAAATAGAAATAGGTTTTTTATTATTAACGGTTATACGGCTCACGACCATTACATTCATTTTGAACAAACCCTTGTCGAGATAACCACGACCAAGGAATATTGTATATTTGCTAAGAATAAACTTCTTAGCTTCAAACACTAGCTTATATTCATTCTCAACAAGAAGTGATCCGGAGACCAAATTCTTGCAGATGTCTGGGACATGCAAAACATCCTTCAGCTTCAACTCCTTTCCAGAAGTGAGCTTCAGCACCACCGTGCCCACTCCAGCCACATCAGACGTGGAGGAGTTTCCCATGTGAAGTTTTCGACCCGTAGCAGGAGTGTATTCAGAGAACACCTCCTTGTCGGAACACACATGACGAGTGGCACCAGTATCGATGTACCACTCCCTTGGGTTATCCACCAAATTGGCTTCAAACACCACCGCCGACATATCAAAGTCGGTCAATTCACCCGGCACAGGGTCGTGTTCAGAGACAAGGGCACTCGGTTTCCCTTTATTTGGCCTAGCTTTCTTTGTCCTCTTGCAGTCTTTAGCCATATGGTTTGGTTTTCCACAATTGTAACAAGTTCCGGTAAACTTCCAAACCTTGGTTGGCTGCTTTCCCTTGTTCTGGGTCTTCCTTTTGCTCGAGTTTCCTTACTCTAGCAAGTTGGCATGAGCTTCCATCATCGGGACTTTTCCTGATGACTTCTGGTTGTCCTCCTTGATACGAAGACGAACTACAAGATCTTCAAGACTCATCTTCTTTCTCTTGTGCTTGAGATAGTTCTTGAAGTCCTTCCAGCCTGGTGGCAGTTTCTCGATCACAGCCTCTACTTGGAATGACTCGCTCAAGGTCATCCCTTCAGCATGGATATCGTGCAAGATTAGCTGGAACTCTTGCACTTGTGACACGACAGTCTTTGTGTCAACCATCTTGAAGTCAAGAAACTTGCCAACGACGAATTTCTTCGCCCCGGCATCCTCGGTCTTGTACTTCTTCTCCAGGGCAGCCCAAAGCTCCTTGGCAGAACCAACAGAGTTGTACACATTGTACAACTCATTACTAAGCCCGTTCAGGACATAGTTACGGCAAAGGTAGTCACCTTGCCCCCAAGCATCGTACGCAGTGCGTAGTTCTGCATTGGTCTCATTCTCAGAAATGACTGGAGGGTCGTCTTTCAGGTATTTCACCAAACCCAAAGTGGTCTGGTAAAAATGCATCTTTTGTTGCCACCTCTTAAAGTCAAGCCCGTTGAATTTTTCAGGCTTTTCAGCTGTAGGAACATGGACAGCAGGTACATGATTGATCGGATGCTGAGAGCTGGAACCTGCTCTGGTGGATGCCATCAGTTCAGTAGGATGACTGAATATTCTTCTTGCGATTGTTGGATTTTTGGTGTGAAATTACACGGGAATCCTACGAACTGATATGTAATTTTCAGTTCTTACAAATAATATAAAAATATGAAATTACAATTGAACTGAAAAAATAAATTACAACTGAAAAACGGATAGATTTATAGCCGAGGCGAGTAAAACTCTTTCCGCAAGAAGAATACGCCCCGTGTGTCAGCTAACAGTTCAGGCGTAACTTCCCCAAAGATACAACGGCAAACGCCTCTAAATCTGTAGCACACCAGATTTACGAGCTCCAGCGAACGGGAACGGAATCGAGAATTGAGCACTTAAAAATAAAAGAATTTCATAATACAAATAAAAATATCACTTGTTTCTTTTCTTTTGATATTTTTATATCCGATATTTGGACATAAATCTATCTTTACTTTCTTTTCTCCTTCTCTTTCTTTCTTCTCTTTTTCTCTTCTCGGTGCGTCTTTCTCTTCCTCCAGCTCCCTCTATTTATAGGTGTAATTGAACTCATAAAATAAGTTAACACCGATCCAATTAAACTCATAAATGAGTTAACACCTAAACACCTCATTAATTAATTGGTTGGCCACATGCACCAAACCACCTCATTATTCAATTGTTTAGCCACTTGCATCCAACTAATATTCCATCTACTTTCAATATTTAATACACTCACAGTTGTAACACCGGTTTCTGGTGATTGATAATGAGGAAAATACCATTGCTCGTATAGACGATAATCATTAACATTTCAAAACCCGA